CCCCTGTAAGTAAGCACAGGACAGCTCTCCACGTGGTTTGTCAACACCCCATTTTGCCACCGCTGTGCAGGCAGAGGGTTCTCAAGCAGCCCTGGAGTATTGTCTGTGGGTGTGAAACTCCCCCACACTCGCTGCACCTCAGTGATTCCTCCAAAGGTCAGGCTAACCCCAGAACCGAACATTTCCCTTGAGACTCTCTCCCCACAAGGCTGGTGCTGCTCTGGAGCCAGGCTCAGTGAGCGGCTGCTGGTACCCAGCCTCCATCCTCCCCACCCCGCATCCACACGTGGCACAGGTAGAAGCCTTGCCCCTGGCCCCCCGTGGCACAGGGTTTGGTTTTTTCCCCCTGTAAAACGTGTGGCTTTAGCTAACCTGTGCTGGGGGCTGGTGGAGGCTGAGCATCCCCCCCAGTCAGCACGGCCAGGATCGAACCTGAGCACGAACGCCCCCAAGTCAGGCTTTCCATCAGGACATCACAACCGAAACCTCCGCTTCATCCGCTCGGGCTCCCCAAAGAGATGACGAGCCCCAAGGATGGGCACCCGAGTTTTGCCCTGCTCTGCACAGCAGTTACACCCAACAGCAATAAACCTCCTCTGCTCTCTGCAAGGGGTAATAAAGCCCCGGAATATCCCACAGGAACGTGGAGCGTTGTCTGTGCCGGCAAAAGGAATGACACTCTGCAGCGCTAAGCCCCGTCTCACCCGGTAGCTTTGTCTTTACAACAGCAAAGCTTTTTATCATCACTTTTGTATCACTTTTGCTTTGTACTACAAGGAACTTGGATTTCACATTCCAGGTAAACACTTTTGTCTTACGCCCTCGCTTGCTGCTCACCTCAGCCCAACCAGACAGTCCTGAGTTTTATTGCTCTCAAATAAAATTGTTTTTTTTTCCCTTCCTGTAAAATTAACATAGACTGGAGGGTCAGGCACAACAGCTTGGGTGAGCAATATACCTTGGCAGCAAAGGGAACATGAAAGGAGCACCGTGAAATGGAAGAACAAAATACAGCAATTTTTTTTCAATAGAACTAGTTGCTCTCATTCATGTGAGTAAAGAAAAATTACATTTGAGGAGACACCCGGAGGTTCCTGGCTCCTGTCCCAGCACGCTATGCAGCACACAGAGTGCTGCTTCACTTTTTTTATAATCCCTTTTTATTACTTCATGGTTGTTGGGTTTGGGACAAAAATGATAATGTTTCGCAAAAACATAACCCTGTAGAAAGTACTACCTAGAGAAAATCTGTGTATTAGTATTCACTGCTTCATATGATGAATATCTGAAGCGCTGGAATAGGAGATTGTAATATTTATGGAGATTCATTTGATTTTCAGAAAATGTTTAGTTCCTACCACAAAACAAAAGTCAGGCTGATTTACACCCCTGCAGACTGAGAAGTGACTTGAACTGTGGCCGCACTCCACAGCTCCGCATGCTGCGTTTGCATCCCCTTGCGTTAGCTGCAGTATTAACACAGAGCGCTCACATCTTGACTGCTCCCCTTTCAAACCAGCAGCATTTTCGGCGTGCAACACGTTGCTGTGAGCGCCTTGGCCAGGACGCCTGGTGCAGCGCTGCTCTGTACAATGTCACTGCAGCGTTCCTTATGTGAGAGAGCAATTTTCACACAACACCCATTGAAACGCATCCCCCCGAGCTGCTGGTGCAGGAGTTAGAGCAAAGTTGCCCCGTGCACGGGTTACACGCTGCTCAGTGCTTGCACCCTGGGTATTTTCTGCCGCCAATACTCACCAGCCAACTCCACAACACAGACGGCGAT